TCCCTCTTCTCCTGCCTCCTCCTGGCTGAATGAGGGCCGGAAGCGGGGCGGCCAGAAGCAGGGGGCGGGGCTTTGTCATGTGCCCCGCCCCCCCATACCTCACCCGGGGGAACTGTGTTCCCCCGCGTTCCCCCCCGAAATGACCTCTGCCTGGCGGGATCTGGTCCATGGGGTCATGAAGAGTCAGACTCGACTGTGCGACTGAACAACAACAAATTTTATTTTTGGCTGTATTTATTTACTTTCTACTTTTTTCTGTAGTCGTTTACTTAGTCCGCCTTCCTCACCTCAGCTGGAGGCAAATTGCACAAAGTCAATACAAACAACAGGAAGGGGCATTCAGTGACTGATGCAAAAGGAATCTGGGTTGTAGAACTACTGGTCACCCCTTCAGTTACATCACATTAACTCCACTCAAAGTCCTAAGTGCTGAAAGCATTGTGATGAACCGGCTTCTTTTTCCCACTGTTGGTGGGAATGTAAATATGTAGCTCAATTTTGGAACATATTTTAAAAATAACAGGGATATCTCTCCCAAAGCAACCAGATTTTTGTTTGTTATCACCATGGTTCAAAGGGTAATTTCCCTCGGTCAATTCAAACCTGCCGCAAGGGCTGCTATACCTTCAAAATGGAAAAATAGAGCACCCCCTTCCACTCAATGGAGCTGCGGTGGCTCAAGTGGTTAAGACGCTGAACTGCAGGCTGTGGAAGGTCAGTAGTTCAGCGGTTCAAGACCCGGGTACCGCAAGACAGGGTGAGCTCCTGTCTCTAGTTCCAGCTCCTGCCAACCTAGCAGTTCGAAAGCAAGAAATTGCAAGTAGATAAATAGGGACCACTTCGGTGGGAAGGTAACAGCGTTCCGTGCGCCTTGGTGTTTAGTCATGCCGGCCACATGACCACGGAAACGTCTTTGGACAGCGCTGGCTCTTCGGCTTTGAAACGGAGATGAGCACCGCAACCCTAGAGTCGGATTCGACTGGCTTTCGAGCAAGGGAACCTTTACCTTTACCTTTTTACCTTCCACTCAACTTTGGATTACCACCATCTGGAGATTTTATGTTATGGGGAAAAATTCCTTATCATAATCACAAGAACGTTTCCTCTGACTTCAATTCTAACTTTCCTGCAGTTTGGCTACCAATGTTATCTTACATGGTATCAATAGAAGTTCCAAACCATGTCTACCCCATTGACCTGTTACAGCTGTAATTGATTTGCGCTGTCCACAATTCTGCCATCACCTGTCATTTCCCGCCCCATGGAAAAGCCCAGACGGACACACCCAACAGTCGTCAGCTGATCGAACTGTTCTGGGAGGCCACCAGTTTGAATTTTTCACCGGAAACGGTTGAATAAGCTCTTCTTGGGAATACTTTGGGGAAACGGCAGCTGAGGGCCTCTAGGAGCCCCAAATATCCCTTCCAGCAATTAGAGGTGGCCCAGCAGTAAAGTCAGGGGTCATTGCGTAGAAAAAAAGGTGCAGGCGCTCATTAGCATGACTTATTTGCATATGCCATACCCCCTGACATCACCGGAAGTGTGTCAGAGGGCAACACCCACCGCTCAGGCTCCACTGGACTGTGTTGGATTGCTAGCTATTGGGGGGGGGGCGTGCAGATCTGTCCTCACAGAGGAGGGAGAGCTTGTACCTGAATAAAACTTGGTCTTAAAGGTGCCACTGGACTGTTTTGGACCAGGGGGCTGGGGGGGGGGCTCTGCAACTTACCTGGCTGCTTCTTGCTCTGACTGAGGGCTGCTGGGAGCAGGGGGTGGGTCTTGTTGCATGTGCCTGCCCCCTGGGCTCTTTACTGCTGGAGCTCCTGTGTGTTCCTGCAGGAAAATGACCCCTGTTGCTACATATTGTAATGTTCATGTTTTATTTGTTACGTTTTGGCTGTATAATTGCACTTTTACTATGGCATGTTGTATTTATGTTTTGTCGTTTATAATTTTAAAAAGGGGGCGTGTGTTGTAGAACCACCCAGAAGTCTAAAAGTACAACACGAATATTAACATGGCAACACATCAAGAGAGCAATTCTAACCAGGTCGACTCAGAATCCTGCTCAGGTCTGCCCAATGGGACTTACTCCCAGGGAAGTGTTTTTAGGATTGCCCTGTAGATGACCGAAAAATGCCATAGCGGGACCCTCGTTTCAGCAAGCTACCCGACAGAATTACAGACTGCAGTCCCTAATGATTGATTCAGGTAGTTCTGCGAATCACTGAGTTCAGCGCAAGTCTGTTGCCTGTCTAATAAAGCCCTCTTGAATCAGGAAAGTGGGGGCCTTCCCGACCTCCTGGGGGAGGCCATTCCACAAGGCGGGGGCCACCACAGAGAAGGCATGCATACGGGCAGTTGTTGGTTTTGCCCTGCTCTGATGAGCAAAGCTGTCCTGGCAGGGGGGGGGGAGAGGTGGTCCGGACCAAGGCCACCAGGGGCTTGGTATTCCATATTGTGTGCCAAGACAGTTGTCTTGAATAAATCAGCAACCAAACCTGTTGCATTATTTGTCTGATTGGGGTGTGTGTGTGCATGGCTAACTTTGCAATTCACCTGTCGGTTGGATGTTTTCTACTGCTCTTACGGCACTGCTTTCCATGGGCTTGAGAGAAAGGCGGTGGGGAAAGGGGGGAAGTGGATAAAAAAGAAGAAGAGGAGATTGGATTTATACCCCGCCTTTCACTTAGAGTCTCAGAGCGGCTTACAAACTCCTTTCCCTTCCCCTCCCCACAACAGACACCCTGTGAGGTAGGTGGGGCTGAGAGAGCTCTGACAGAACTTTCCTTGAGAGAACAGCTGTGCCAGAACTATGGCTTGCCCAAGGTCATCCAGCAGCTGCAGGTGGAGGAGTGGGGAATCAGACCCGGTTCTCCCAGATCAGAGTCCACGCACTTAACCACTACACCAAACAGAGAAGTCCATCATTGCTACTTTTGGGGCAGGGGAGGCCTGTTGGGTTGAAGAAAGAGTAAGTTTGAGTCCCGGGGCACCTCTAAGACCCACAAAGCTTCATTCCGGGCAGACACAGGAAAGCTTCTACCCGGAATGAAACTTTGTGGGTCTTGCAGGTGCCTCCTGGAATCCAACTTTGTTCTGCTGCCGCTTTCCGTCTGCCCTGGATCCACACATCCTGGGGCAGGGGCCTCTTTTGGGGCTCCCCCCGAGTCTCCCCCCCCGTTAACTTTTTAAAGACAAAACATACATAAAGACAAAACTAACATAAAAGAAGGGAAATTATTCTTACAATTCCTTGTTTAACAAACTCATGCCTAATTTATGGAACGTTTATATATTTCACCTTGTATAATTATGTATAAAAAGGTAAAAGTTCCCCTTGCTCGAAAGCCAGTCGAGTCCGACTCTAGGGTTGCGGTGCTCATCTCTGTTTCAAAGCCGAAGAGCCAGCGCTGTCCGAAGACGTTTCCGTGGTCATGTGGCCGGCATGACTAAATGCCGAGGCGCACGGAACGCTGTTCCCTTCCCACCGAAGTGGTACCTCTTTATTTACTTGCAATTTCTTGCTTTCGAACTGCTAGGTTGGCAGGAGCTTTATCATTTATCATTATGTATATCTCTTACAAATATATCAAACTTGTACTTTGTATGTCCTTAGAAAGTTTTAATTGTCTGTATGGCTTATTTACTATAGTCTTCAAACCACTTATAAAATCTCGACCATGTGTTATCAAATGTCGATTCTGGTCCTTTCAAAGTTAAAGTTAGTTTGTCCATCTCCGCCGTTTCCAAAATTTTACTTAAAATTTCTTCTCTCAAGGGTGTTTCTGGTCTTCTCCAATATTTAGCATATAGCACTCTAGTATTCTAGCACCTGTAGTCACATGCAGTATAAGAGTCATATTTTTTTACAGTTTTCAGGTAAAATATTCTACAAAAATATTTCTGGAAGAAAGGATAAAGTAAAGGCCAAGGTCTCCCTTGCTCGAAAGCCAGTCGAATCCGACTCTAGGGTTGCGGTGCTCATCTCCGTTGCCAAGCCGAAGAGCCAGCGAAGACATTTCCGTGGTCATGTGGCCGGCATGACTAGACACCAAGGCCCAGGGAACGCTGTTCCCTTCCCACTGAAGCAGCACCTATTTATCTACTTGCAATTTCTTCCTTTGGAAGTGCTAGGTTGGCAGGATACAGAACATTTTAACATTTTTTGTAAAATTCCATGAATCCAAACGCAATTTTTTTTTTTTTTTGCTTTATGACCTAACCACCACATATAGTAAAAAGATCCATCATCTTTAAGGGCCTCGGGCAAGCCGAGCTTCTGCCAGGTTGCGAATCCACCCGCCAGAGGCCAGCGGGGAGAAAGGCAGTGTGGAAGGCAGCCCCCGGGGCGACCCCGCCCAGGCGCTCCAGGAAGGAGCTGCGCGGCCTGCGGGGTGAGTTTCTGTTCCCTCCGCCTGGCCTCGCCTGGCCTCGCCTCGCCTCCCCCCGGGGGCCCTGATGTCACGCTCCCGCCTCCCCGCGGCCATAAAGGCAGGTGCGCTCACCTGGCGCGCAGGTAGAAGCCGAGCCGCCGCCGCCGCCGCCCCCACCCCGCCATGGCCAACTCGGGCTTGCAACTGTTGGGCTTCGCGCTGGCCCTGCTGGGCTGGATCGCCACCCTGGCCGCCACCATCCTGCCCCAGTGGCAGATGTCCTCCTACGCCGGGGACAACATCATCGTGGCCGTGGCCCTCTACCAGGGCCTCTGGATGTCCTGCGCCTGGCAGAGCACCGGCCAGATCCAGTGCAAGGTCTACGACTCCGTCCTCGCCCTCCCCGGTCAGTGGGGCGCAGGGGGCGGGAGAGCGCCGGGCGGCCTCCGGGGCCCCACCAGACGGGGCGGCGGGGAGGGCTACTGTGGGCGGGGGCCGGGAGGCGGAGGGGGGTCGCCCTCCCCGGTCAGTGGGGCGCAGGGGGCGGGAGAGCGCCGGGCGGCCTCCGGGGCCCCACCAGACGGGGCGGCGGGGAGGGCTACTGTGGGCGGG